ACGAAGCTCGCTGCGATCTCCAGGTCCTCCTTTGTATGGAATCTGGTTGGCGCATTTTTTAGCCGACTGACTAAGTCGGCTCTAAAGCCCTCCCAGTTTGTTTTTCTGGGGTTTCTCCCCCACTGTTTATCTTTCTGTAAGTTCACAAGGTCGAAGCGGATCTGTCTGTGGTCGGACCCTGAAGGTTCATTTGAGACCCTCCATCCCGCCACCAGATCCACCACACCCCTCGTGCACAACGTAATGTCTATCACTTCCTGTCTTCTCGAGTCCAGGAAAGTGGGTTCTGTTCCTCTATTTAGGATTTGTAAGTTAGTGCTCATGATGAAGTCAAGTAGGCTCTCCCCTCTTGGGTTTATGTCGAAGCTTCCCCACACCAAATGGTGTGAGTTCGCATCACAGCCCAAGAGGAGCTCTAGTCCACTTTCCTTCGCATAAGTTACTAGCTCTATCATGTTTCTTTGGGGAGGTAGTTCCTCTGAATCGTAGGGCATGTAAACAGACCCCACTATCAGGTCCCTGACCTCTCCATCGTCTGTATTGAGTTTCAGCCTTACAGCTACTAAATCGCCGTCGCTGAATTGTGGTAATAGACAGGCATCCAGACCTTTCGCCACAATACAGGCTCTTGGTCTTTCTGCATTGTCTGCTTTGAACAATTTACCACAACCTCCAAGGCCCTTAATGTGTCCCTTGACGAGCCACGGCTCTTGGATGAGGAATAAATGCTTTGTATGCATCACAGCTGCGCACCTGGCTAGAACCGCCGAGGCGCTTTTGCTGTGATGCAAGTTGATTTGAGTGAAGGGGATATTGGAGCCTGCCATTGATTAGGTAGCCCCCGATCTATCCTCCTTCCTTCCTAACTCCCCCCTGCGGTCCCCCCCAGGCAACCTAACTGTCGCCTGGCTGAGTCCACAGAAGGGTTTAAAGTTGAGCGCTTTAAGAGCACTCAACGCTCCCTCCCCAATAAGGGCAGCGAAGTGGGTGCTCGTAGCATCCCTACTTTCGCTACCCCTCGCGACCACCCAGTCCGCGGCTTGGAGACCCTCATTTTGTCTGTCAAGTAGTTCTATCGCTTCCTTGACAGGCATCTTAGGGTCCTCTACATGCACTACCACTCGATGCCG